CCTGACTGCTGATGCTCTTCTGTACTGCACCGGGTACAAGTACACGTACCCTTTTTTACACGAAGACTGTGGCATCAGGGTTGATGAAAATTTTGTCACCCCATTGTGGAAGCAGTTGATTAACATCCACCATCCCACCATGTCTTTCGTAGGATTACCCTCAAGGATTATTCCATTTCCATTATTTCATTTTCAGGTGAGTTAGAAATTCACGTAGAAAATATTGAATTGATATGAAAAAATCATAAATATGTTTTTTTTTTCATGAATGCATTTCTTTCATTATAACAATATAGTGATAATGGAATTAATAAATATTAAATTAATATTAAGATACAAGAGAGAAAAATCGAGAGTAGAATTGAATATTGAAAAATTTCTGTGAAATTATGATAGAACGGAAATGGAAAAATGTGATGAGTAATTTGGAGGAGTAATAACTGAAATGTAATTGCAGATTGGATTTTTCCTGTCTCTCCTAAAAGGGAGAATTGAACTGCCGTCGAAAGAAATAATGTTGATGGATACCAGACCCTCGGGTGAGAAAAAACATGGACACGTGCTGGGATCTCGCCAATGGGAGTACAATAATGAATTAGTGACTCTTTCGGGTGCTGTTGCCCTTCCAGAATTCTACGAGAATGGTTACACCTCGTGGACCACCCACAGGACAAATAATTTTCTCAAGTGCAAGGACTCGGAGATGATCATCGAGGCAGATGGCAAAACCGTGCGCTTTGTAATCGACACATAATTCAATTTTTTATTTTCTCATATTTTTTGTTTGAATAAATGACGATTTACCGGATGCCCGTGGCGTTGTGGATCCAATCTGTCAATTGAATGACATCCGTGTACACCCCGGGGGTGAATTTTTCACCGCAAACGTCTCCCCAGGATGTAATTCCAATTAAAATACTCTCGGTGTTGTAAAGAGGTCCTCCAGAATCTCCCTGATAAATAAATAATAAATGAGGACATAAAATCGAAATAAAAAAAGAATAGTTGTTGCAAAAAAAAATTTTTTTAATCATTGGATTATTGCCAATAATAATTCGGAATTAATTATCAATTATTTCAATGATACTATAATTTTTTTTTTCAATCTGCTTGCACTGACTAAAATATTTGACTGATTAGATGATTTTTTTGAATTAATGAGTAATCAGGAGAAATTACTTTGCAAGTGTCAGCCCCTCCATCTTGGTATCCATAACAAATATGTCGTGGGGTCACTCTGTACACGGCCTTGTAATTATCAATGCAATCAGCACTCGGTGTTCTCGGTACCATTGCGTACTTCAAGTTCTTCGAGGTCACATCATTATCGTCTTCCTGCGTCTGTCATTTTTCCATTTATCGTGTCAATATTTCAGATTTGAAATATTCAATAATTGAATAATCATCAAAAATAATAATAATTAATACCTCTATTATTTTTATTATTTCCCTAGAGCAATGTGAATCGAGAATACGACGGATTGAATCAAGTTATTGAATGAAATTTCGTGATCTATAAAAATTATCGAATTTTTTTTACCGGAACTGCTCCCCAACCGGCGATGCTAGCCCATTCTGTTCTCAATTCTTTATCACAATTGGGGGGTAATTCTATAGCTGCAGTTGTCTCACTCATCTCGAAGGGAGGATCAACCCTGAAAACTGCGATATCGTAATCCTGAATTGTTTCCTCGTATTTTGGATGAATAACTCTCTGCGTCACATTGTGCAAAACACCCCCGCTGTCCCTCTGCACAGAACCACTCCTCACTGTCACCCCAACCCCTGTCCTTAATTGAAAAAAAAATAAATAACAAAGCACCAAAAAATAATTCGATTA